GAAACTATATATATTAATTTTAGGGGGCATGATTTTCGAAATAACGCTCATGAGCGTTATTACGCGAAAATACGGTATGTAACAATCGATTACAAACGATTTAAATTAATCGATTATAATCGATTGGTTTAATTGTATTGATAATAATCGATTAAAATCTCTATCGCATGTAATCGATATGGGTGATGATTATTGGTTAAAATCTAATGATTTTAATCGATTATAATCAGGGTTCAAAATTTTCTGATGACTGTTTAGAACAAAATTAATTATTAGAATTTTAAAACCAATTTATTCCTAACGAAATTTTAAGTCAGCGTCATTTTAATGAAACATCAGCTTCAAACTAGCGACATTATAAACAACTCGTTACTATAATTGTTTAATAAAATTAAAGGTAACTATCAGTTCAATAGAAACTAAAGTTATAGAGATCATGTCAATATGACAGTACGACATTATGGAAATATGGCATTGCAGCACGGTATTACAGCTATGATTTGGGTGACGGGAAAGGAAAACCTGTAAATTGATCCATTACTTTTCATGTTATTGAACTCTGTCCTTGGAAATATAATCCTACGTGATTAGCTCTTACATCATATTAATCCGGTTTAACTTATTCGGCTCCATTTTATTAATCAGATTTTATAATAGTTAAATATATCAGAGGTCTTTTTCGATTTTTAACAGCTGTCCTACTTTGTTTAGTGCGTCGAGTATAATCTAGGGTATCTTCCTGCGTTGCGAATACAAAATAAAGTTTCCTATTATATAATATAATAAAAATCTTTACTTTGTATTCGCAACGCAGGAAGATGCTCTCCTTATGCAAACCTAGGTTATACTCGACGCACTAAACAAGGTAGGGCAGCTGTTAAGAATTGAAAAAGACCTCTGTTGTTAAATATACAAGGCTCAAGCCGATAATATCCTTAATTCTTTTGATGCCAATCAATAGTGTTATCGAAGCGACTAGAACGATCAGTTGTATACGTATCACATGTAATTATTGTGGGATCAGGGCCGAACCCGAATCAATTTACGTTACAGGTTTTTCCTTTCCGTCACTTATTTTTGGTAATACTGTTTACGGTTTTTACCGTTATAACATTTGCGTAATTAGTTCTCCGTTATGGCATATACCAATAACGATAATGCCGTAATTCGGTAATTATGATGACAGTATACAGTATATGAATGCTAAAGTCAGGTCAATAGTAAATAATTTATCAATTACAAATAATAAGCCGTTAGGATTTAATTTACAAAACTTTGAATTTATTGATGCATCCGTTTTTTCTAGGTTTAGCGCAACTACGCCGAACAGCTACGCCGCGCAGCTAGTTATACAAGTTTTTTTTTTCTTTATTACAAAGTTTGCATGTATTGAGATACCTTCCAGTACCTAATTTTCCTATAATGCTGTTGCTTACATCTAATCTTATTGACAATGTTTCACTCTATCGTACCCATTCTTAATTCATTGACATTCAGATCTTTACTCAACACTTGCATCGTATTCCTCCTTCGTGTCATTATCTCGACGTCTCATCTAATCTAGGAGTACGTACGTGCGTACGTACACCAATGGGCTATGGATAAATAAAGGCTAAGTATAAACAAATAATTATATAAGGCAGAAAAATAAGGTGAAAATAGGTAATACGAAACGTAAATAATGAAATGGAAAAGTAAATGACATAACAGGGTAATACGGTTAAAAGACACAACGACAAAAAGTATGGCGATCACATCAAAAAAAATCGAGACAGTAGTAACAACGATTAAGGAATAAGCATGCGTATTATTTGAAATTAATGCTTGAAAACTATTTTGTCACTTATACTAACCATTTATACTGAAAAAAGATTTTATTTGTAATATAATATGCAATACTTCAAAAGAATCAGGTGATAAATTTCAATCACAAATTTTTTTAATAAAACTACCTATTCGGTTATTCTGTTTAAGAATTCAAGTGCAATAACCTTAAAGTTTCGAGCCCTTCAAAAAATACCAAATCGGGAGAGTTGCTTAAATGATAAAGGAAATATCGACATGCATCATGAACTTGTGTTGCACGGCTTCAACTTAAGTGTCATGTGGCAAAGATCATTCGGTCTCGAACTTCTATAATTACATATTAAGTATGTGCGTACGTACATACTTGAAATCTTGCAGACCAGGATCGCGAAATTAAAAGGGTGCAAATATTACTACAGATTTTTTTTTTGATAAATCTTTTTTCAATCGCATTTTTTTTTTAGTCCACTCATATTTCACTTTCTAAATCAAGAATAATTAGTTTCAGATTGCATGCGCAATAGTGTGAAACGTAATAATTTCCAATGTGATTGATGGATAAATTCATTGTTTAAAAAATTTTTTTTTAAAAAAAAATGATTATGCTATTTCTATATTTATCTGGTGCATAATATAACTCGTTTCAAACAGACAATACATAATGATCAATACAATAACGACAATTTCGATCAAATTACTTTAATTCACCAATTATTTTATTACGTAATCACGTGAAAGCATTTTGGCGGTCAAACTAGACACGTTATAACATCACTTTCACGTGCATCATATGGCTTCCTGTCGATATTGTATAATCGTAAATAGAAAAAGGGTTCTTTCCATCGTTTATACAGAATGAATCGACGAGGATGACCCCAAATATTATAGTTACCTGGTCTAGTTGCGAACTACCCGACCCGATATCTCTATCAAAGGTTTAAAAATTATGATACCCCGAAATATTTTTGAAAAAACATAAGTCATCACCGCCTACAGTTTTTATGAATAACTTTAATCGAGTTGGATTTTAATGCAACAACGAACGAGATGTTTCTCGTGCTACAACTAACAAATTTTCACTCTCACCAAACCTGTCAAACACAACGTAACAACCTAATGTAGCAGCAAGTTTCTTGTATAAATTAACTGAATTAGAACTGCCCATACTTCTGTTGCTGTCAAAGATGCTTATCAGATTGTGACAGCAGATAATAGGAAAATTAAACAAGAGACGCCTGTAAAAAGAGTAACAGAACGTCTGTGTATGGTCAGTATTCCTAATATTTTGCAAATCAATGTCGATGATTCGGACGGTCCCGAGGTTAATGATGATGAAATAAATTATGTGATAATAAGATTACACAGAGTAACGGTGTCGAGTAAAATGGTCTTGAGATACATAACGGTCATGATGAAAGTCTCAATATTCGTCGAATGAAAATGATGAATCTCTACGGTTCGTATTATTTCACCGAAAATCACTTCAAGACAACTTAGTTCATAGGCAATTAATTTTTATAAATTGTACTATAATTCTAAACTTTCTAAACCTAACCCTAACGGCAATGGCTAGAATTACTTTGTCCGTGAAATGAGCTGTCTATTATCTTGTCTGTCTGTGAATTAAGTTGTCTGTGAAGTGATTGTCGGTGAGTTGATCGGTTGCCATCGTGGTCACGTGTTTTACTAGTAAACGATCTATAATCCAGTTAGTGCTCCTAAAGAGTCATTCGGGTCGGGTTTGGGGTTGAGCCCGTATTTGTTCGAACAAACTCGGGTTTTT